GAAGATTATGATTATAAGATTATTTAATGAATTTTATTTATCAACTTGTTTACAAGTATGATAAAAAGTGATAATTTAAGATTTTATTAACACCATGAAACATGATTATTATTTATTACTCACTCATATCTATTAATGGATGAGGTCATGTCAAAAAATAATGAATGAAGTAATTAACAAATTACATTAAATTAATTTATGATTTAACAAATTATGTATAATTATAAAAACAAATAATATACTTAACAAAAATATTATCCATGAGAGTGGACAATAAATTTGATGCAACATGGGGTAAGATATATTCATTTATTAATAATCAATAAATTTGTTAATTATTTTTATTACTAATTTAATCTTAATTTTAATTTAATTGTGAAGGAGGTTTTTAAGCCGAAGATTTGATAAAGAAGATTGTCTAGCATGAACATAGTAGGATATTCAATTTCATAGTAATATATCTTATTGCAGAACAATAGGATCATATGTTAGGCAATAACGATAGGAACACATGTACACATCCTCATGAGCTTAGGGTTTATGACAAACGCACTTCAAGGCTGAAGAATTTGTTTGAAATGAAGGCTGCAGAAATTCACAAGAACCCTAGGTGCCTCAAGTTGATGCATCAAATAGGAACCTACCAGACGGCAAAACAATTTCAGAAGCTCGTAACAAGAATTTCGACTATGTCATTGCGTTTCCAGAAAATTGAATTGTTTAGGGTGCCTAAATATTTTGTTAAAGTGAAGTAGTTTAAGTAGTATTAGGATATTGTGTGTCTTGGTTGTTTCTTTTGGTTGGCCCAATCTCTTGTAGGGGTCCTATGTAGTACGGTAGTAATGACAATCTGGTATAGATGCCTTAATTTGGCCTTTTGGGTCCTTTTGTTGGCTAAGGCCCAGTAATTAGAATGAGTGTCTCGTTTTACAGCTGTATTATTGGCACAGTTTAATATTAGGTAACTAGTGTGTATGGGCATTTGGATGTGTTAGCCCAGTTTAGCATGCAACCTTGATTTGCCCACCTTTATGACCCAGGTTTAATATGTTTACTTTTGTGATGCTTAATTATCAGCTAGTATGTAATCAAATAGTTAATTTGATTTGAATTGGTGGACTTTGATTTCTAATGATGGAATGATGGGCCTAATTCAATCAATATTTAACCAACATGGAATGACTACATTAATTATATTAATTAAACGTTACTTGGTGTCTAAAAAAATAAAAAAAATTGTTAATTTTAGAAATAAACCAAAAAGATGTACTTAAGTATGGTAATTGTATTTATATACTTTTTTTTTCCTTTTTTTTTTAAATTGAACAAATAAGACATTAAAAATGTTATTTCATATTTGAACCAGGGCCCACTTGCAATAGAGGCCCAATTGCTTCAGTTCATAAATCCAGTTGAGTTGTGCATGTCTTCATTGTTACTCAAGCACTACCAGCAGTGAGGAAAAAAACCCTCACGAGTAAAAATAAGGGTGTAAAAAAAAAAAAACCGAGCACCACGGCAGTGAGGGAAAAAACCCTCAACCGTGAGGGAAAAAAAAAACCCTCAAGAGTTGAGGGTTTTTCTAAATGAACAGTGCACGCGTGGGGCCCACAAGCAATACATTTTCTTTTTTTTTCTGGTAGCAATGAACAGTACACGAAGCAAAAAAAAAAAAATTAAATGGCTGGCACTGACGCGCGTCAGCCCAGCCAATGGGAGGGTGACACGTGTCAGTGCTTCAGCCAATCAGAATTTTTGTACCTTTTTTACAATGGTTATATTTTGTAAATATTTAAAAAAAAAAAATACACCAACGGTCATAAAATTTTTTTCTCTATAAATAGACATGCATTTTGATATATTTTGATATAATTTAAAAAAATCTCATAAATTAGAGAAATTAACATATTCTCTCAATTTCTTCTTCTTATTATTATTATAATTATTTCTTACAAAAAAAATTATTTTTACATATTTTTATTAAAATATTTTTAAACGTAATTAAAAAATAAATTATTTTTACATATTTTAATTGTATTGGAAAATTAATTATGTAGTATAAACAATATTTCAAAATAAAGATAAAATAAAAAGATGATGTGTATTATGGTGGGGTATAGTGGAGGAGTGAGAAAGTGGGTAGAGAGAGATTGAGGAGTTTTTTTTTTCCTCATTGGTGTGGTGAAAAAATCATTTGATGAGGGAAATTGGGTTGGAGGAGTGAGAAAGTGGGTAGAGAGAGATCGAGGAGTTTTTTTTTCCCTCACTGCTGATAGTGGTCTCAGGCATATGTGTTCGTCACCGTACTTTGTGGGGCCAAGAGGTTTGATGACTGTGACATATTTCCTATTCTTTTACAAATGAAGCTTATCTTGGCCAAGTGGTTTTGATTATAAGGTTTAATTTCCTGGAAAAATATAAGGATAAAAGAAATTTTTGTGACTTAAATAACCAAGTATGTAAGTCTGACACATTGGTAAGGGAGTGACTAATATAGTAGTGAGGCTCTTTTTAGATCATGGGTTCGAGACTAGCCACCCTTATTTTTTGTTAGGTCAATAATTTTAGGAGTAGTATGTTGGTCATTTTGTTAAGTTAGAGAGTCAAATAAACTTAGAAGTTAATGAGTTTATTTAGTGTGTTTATCATGGCATTATAATTTCTGTTTTTTACAAACTTTTTATTTGTTGTTTGTTAACCTATATAAATGGCTCTTGTATTTGGTGAAGTAAGCACTCAGAAATAATATTGAGTTCCATATTTTACTTGCTTCATACTTATCTACAATTATTATTGTTTTTATCCTTTCGGCGTACGTATTAGTTTCAACCATCCTCTTATTCCTCTACTCCTCTTAATTCTTAAATCCTTATTTGTTTGCAAATTATTGATAATTAGATTAATTATTTCATTGTTTAATTAGTATTTGAGCATCTTTTGTTTTTTTCAGATTCCGAACCCACAATCCGGAATTCCTGGATACAGAACTGAAATAAACTGAACTTAATTTCAACGTATGAGAACTAGACTACGGTGTGTTTGAAAATAGGCGTATTTGAGCCAAATAAGCTTATTTTACCAACATTAGTTTATTGACTATTAAATAAGCAAACATAAAGTGATTAGTAAAAAGTTTATTTATAAAGCTTATTCTGCTAAATAAGCTCTTTTATAAAAAGTTCCGAAAATGATCTTTTTCAAATAGCTTATTCCTAATTTACTTTAAAATCCTTTATGACCTTCTACCTCTTAATTAGCTTATTGGTCATTTCAATTAATCAATTAGCTTTAAATTATCAGCTATTTACCAAACAATTTTATACAATCAGCTATTAAATTCTAAGTTAGTCAATTCATGTTTATACTATCAGCTAGTTAAAATCAGCTAGGTTAGTTGGCTAGGGAAGTTAGCCAAAATAAACGGCAAGCTGCCAACTAGCTGCCACCAATAGGCAGCGCTAGCTGGGCTGGCAATGCGCCTCGCTAGCAGCACACGCCTAGCTAATAGCGCCGTAATTGGCAGCGTCTTGGCTAGCTGACAGCATGCTGCGCCCAACTATGCGGCTCGTGGACCTAGGCTGACGGGTCACGGACGCAGGTTGATGGGTGGCGGCCCAATTGAACCCATATCGGGGCTTAAGGTTAGGTGCTACATGGCTAGATCACATTGGATATGAGTTGCCTTGGGGAGAAAGTGGGGAAGTGGTCCTCACCTAACCACTTAATCAACATGTGACACTTGTTACTTAGCGATTCCTTGGTTAATTTAATTAGGAATTAAATTCAACATTCCTTCCATGTGGGATCTTTTTTAGAAAAGTCCCACATTGAAAGATGAGAGGATTTCACAAGGAACCACTCTTTATAAATACCCAAGGCATACCTTGGAAATTCCTTGCAAGACAAAGAGCTCTATAAAAGGCATTTGATATTGAGAAAATCTTATAAGGAGATCCTCTTGCTTAGTAGTGTTAGAATTATCCTAGCCGGTAATTCCGACCAAGTTTGGGCGAACGGGTGGACTTCATTGGAGGAGTCACATTTGGGGCTCTTTCCATTCTTGTTTGTGTTTGTCAAGTAAGAGCTCGGGTGAGCGAATCACGCTACAAAGGTATACTCCCTCCGTTTTTTTTTTATTTACATCACTTGCATTTACACGGAGTTTTAGGAAAGTTATTTGTTTCAATATTATATTGTGCAAGTGGGGCAAGTGGATGATTAATTTATTTTGATAAAAGTACAATGTGGGTCATGAAATAGATAGTATGTGAGAGAGAATGATTTATTTAATAATATAAGTGGGGACCATGAAAGAGAGTGAAATGATAAAATATTTTGAGTGGGGTATTTGAGAAGAGAGAGAGATAATAAAATGTAGTATAAAGTTACCAAATATAGAAGTGATGCATATATAAAAAAAAACACCCCTAATAGAAAGTGATGCATATAAAAAAAAACGGAGGGAGTAATTGGTTTATCTCTCTTTTATTTGTATTATTAATTATGCATGTATTAGTTACCTTAATTATGAGCGGGTCTTGGGGATGAGTTTTACTTTCGCGGGATGTCGGACATCTCGGAACCCAACAGCGGTATCGGAGCCACGCTCATTTAATTTTTGTAACTAATATTTTCAAGGTTTTAAATGGCTTTAATTTCTGGTTGTGCTTGCTAATTAGATTAGAATCTCGTTTTGATTATTTTAATATCGTTTTTATTAGAATTTTGGCTCCATAACCCAGATTTCGACCCAAGATTAGTGAATTTTTGGGTAGAACCGATGTTCTGGAAAAGATTTGACCCTTTTAGACTCATCCAGAAGCAAATTCTGCGCAGAAATGCTATTTTCGAGGGATTTTTTGTTTAAAATAAAATTTTTAAATCTTTAAACCTTGAATCTATATGGCATATTATTTATTGATTATGTGTTGGGTTATTATAATTAACCTACTACATTTACAAGCCTATTTTGAGCATGATTATTAAGTAATAATTGGTGCTTAAATGGTTGACACTTTTATGCATAAATTGGAGACCAACACAATAAAGACGTCACCTCCTTGAGTTTTTGTTGAAACTCTCGATCTGTTATTGGGATCAATTCTAATCGCTTGTACAAGATCCATAAAAGCTAAATCGAGTTTATTGAGCTCTAAAGCTGCCACCGCCCTTCTAAAGTAAGCTTTCACATTTGAAGTATCATAACACAAAACTTCAGAACACAACTGACCCATCTTGTCAAAGTTTTTCTCTTTGACGTAATAAGCACCCAAGTTTATATTAAGAGACACAACAAGGCTTGAAAAAACTGATTTATCTTCATCATTAAAAACCATAACAAAAGATAAAATCTTGAGTGTAAGAGAGTATTTTGCCAGTGCTAATCCCATATTACTATTTTTGTAGAAGGTGTTACCTTCATATTTCAAGCCCCTAACAAATTTTCCAACTAACAACTCTAGTTTATGAGAAGAGATATCATCTTCATCAACATGAGCAAAACACAAATCCCCCTAAGTTATTCAAAGTTATCTATAAAAACTTAAAACAAAGACAAACTTAAAAAACCCAACAACTAAAAACTAAGGATCAAACTGATAAACATAGAGCAAACAAAACTTCTCCATAACTCAAACAAGACATACCAGAAAAGTCATCACGAAGAACACTCTGGCATATAAATGATAAAGACCCGACAGATGCGCCTTTACACCTACACCACTTGGAATCTAGTAGATTACAACCGAATGGCAGATCCTTGCTTCGAACGGTAATTGGGCTACGAGTATAAGACCCAAAAATTCACCAAAAGCCGAAATTCAAACCATAACCCTAACTTTTATTCAGTGAATTTAGAGTGTTTAGGGTAGCTAGGAGAAGCCGCGCCTAATTAATTAGACTCGAGGCCGTCAAGAGATGCTCGCTGACGACCGTAGTTGAGCGGCAATGCTTTGGCCGCCGGTGACAGGGAAGGCTTGAGGAAAAACTCTATTTTATTTTAGAGAGAAGGGATAGTGTTTTCTCTTTGTTAACGTAACAATTAGTGATACTAGTATTCTATTGATCTTATTGTAATTCCTTTTTTAGCAACTTATGTATTCTAATGGTTGATTGAGTAATAGTTTCATATCAAGCAATCAAATGTGTCCGATATATGATTGTAATTCTTCATTATTTTTTATTTTATGATTGAAAAAATGTGATCTTGATTTCAAATAGAAAAAAGATACTACGTATTAAATTACAACAACAAAAATAAGAAAATATTTGATATTTATACAATATGGTACAAAAAAAAGCTCATGAATAGAGGAAAAAAACTCTTATATCCATATCCTATTCTGTAAAAAATCATCAAAGGAGTTATAATGTGTGTTAAATTGAAGTAATTTTAATGTATTTATTTCTAACTCATCCAAAATTTAAGTCCATCTCCTCTACGGTAGAGTAATACACTCTTTGTATATATATATAGGGTCAAATGAGAAGGGTGTTATAATGAGAAGGATTTTATATGCAATTTTTTTGTATTAAATGTGCATTTTTTTAATAAAACGGGCAAAATAAAAATCTGATTCAAACTCCTCTGCCTTTTCTTTCTCCGACACTCATCTCCTCAAGCTCCTTCACTCTCCTCCTTATCTGCATCGCCCAATAAAAAAAAATCCTCATCATCACCGTCATTACCACTGCCATTTCCACCTTCTCTTCCACCATTTCCATTCACTTCATTGCAAAAATATTTTACAGTACGTGTTCGACTTCTTCGAGAAGCTTACCATCCCAACATATGAAACACACCCTATAATCGAAACTCCCATCTCTTCGGCAAGCCTAAACTCAAACGATGTCATACGCGAGTAATCACATCTTTTTCTGGTGATCGGAAAGTACATTCGCCGACAACGTCAATTCTATCCGTAAAATATGGTTTCTAATCTAATGTCATCATCAGCATACTCGCCAAATCAAATATCTAAATTATTTTCTCAACTCTAAATCTAAACTTATTCAATGTCTAACTTTTAATTTAGAAAAAAATAGACATTGAATAAATTTAATGGAAGAGAAAGAAAGATACAACATAGAGGGAAATGTACATAATTATTTAATTAAATGTGCATAATTTTTTGTCTAAATGTGCATTTTGTTGCAGCATGAAATGTGAATCGTTGGATGTGGTTGTATGGTCAAGATTCCTTCTCATTCTTCTCATTTTAAGATCCTTCTTATTGGATCCCAACCCATATATATATGAGATCCAATGAGAAGGATCTTATAATGAGAAGGAATCTTGATCATATATTTTAATCCAACAATAAAATTTCATCTTAGTAAAATTATGCACATTTAGTTTTTTTTTTTTAAAAAAAAAAATACACTTTAATAATCCCAACTATAGTCGATTTACTTTTAGTAATCCCAACTAAGGTTTATTATCTAATAACCCTAACTATTGGGTATGTTTGCCAACAATAGTCCCAACCGGTCAACACAAAGTCAACGACATGTTATAACAGGTTACCATGACACGTGTTAACATGTGATTGGTCTGAAATAAAAAAAATAAAAAATAAAAACATAAAATAAAAAAAAAAACCAAAAAAATCCCAAGCCACCTTTCCCACCATGAAACACTAACCCCCACCCCCTAACCTCGTCGGACTGATTGGCTACCCCCTTTTAGCCACTAAAAACAACCGGTTGGCCAACCCTTACTGCCAACACCAACTTTAAGGTAGTAAGGGCAGCCGCACAAACCACCAGCCACCAACAACAAATTGCAACAATACTCCTCGCAGCCGCACAAACCACCAACTTCCATCACAACACCTCACAACCCCTGGCCGCCGCATCAACCTATGCAACCCCTCAACATCCCAACTACGACACCCACACAACAACCACCTACTCCTGGCAGCCGCACTAACCCACGCAACCCCTCAACATCACCAACTGCAACAACCCACGCAGCTGCTGCAACTGGTGGTCGAAATTGATGTGATTTGTGGCGAATTATGATCATTGGAGGTTAAATTGTAGTTTTGTGGTGGTTGAATTGTTGGCTAGAGGTAAAATTGTTGGGCAATTAGAGGTCGACTTTGTGGTGGTTGAATTGTTGGAGTGGCTGATGTGGGCGCCGCTGGCAGTGCGGGAAGAGTAATTGGTGGTTGTTGTTGCTATTGTTGCGGTGTAGACGATGGTTTGGGGGTTTGGGAGGGTCGGTCGAGCTTTTTTTTGGGGGGGCTGGGTTAGGGAGGTGGCTGGCCGGTTCCGGTGGGCTGTAGTGGGAGTTTAGCCTTGGGTTTTACGGTGAGGGAGTGGTGGTTATAGGATTTAGGTTTTTTGTTATTTTGTTTTTTTTTAAATTTAATTTTGTTTAATTTTAGGTCAATCATGTACTGACACGTGAAATAATGGGGCATTCAGAGAGGGAATGTTTAAATGTAACTGAAGAAGAGAAACAAGAATCCTTGGGGTGGGGTATTATCCTCAAAGCCACTCCAAGGAAGGGGAGAGCAAAGGAGGTGGAAGAGATGGAGCAGTTTAAGGCTGCGAAGAGACTTGATTTTGTTACAAAACCAGTGCTAGAGCCTCAAAATTTGGAGACTGAGGAGAGTCCATCCAAGCCAACTCTTAAGCTTGATAATGCTGCAGTGCCTTTGGGAACCCCTGAAGCCCCCCTGATGCTGTCACAAGTTGACACCAATGAGAATTCGGTGCAAGTGCCTGTGCAGGCAGAAATGGTGTCGTCTGAAATCTCCGATCCTTCTGTAGGGGAAGGGGGTAAGCAGAAGCGAGGGTGGAGGAGAATAGGCAACCATGAGCCCCGGGATAAAGGTGAGGGTTAATAATCTGTTATCTCGAAGAGGGGAATTGGAGACCGAGACACTAGTGACTTGGAAGTTGATCAAGTCTGGAAAAAATGGAAAGACGAGGAAACTAGCGTGGAGTGTGAAATAGCAGTGGAGGTTGGGTCACACCAACCCCGCCTCCCTCAATGAGTGTTCTAGTTCGGAACTGTCGGGGATTGGGCAACCCCTCGACAGTTCGACAACTCCGAAGGTGGAGTAATAGGTTGGCCCCCGATATGATTTTTGTATCGGAGACAATGATAAAAAAGAATATTGTAGAGAATTTGAAAGAGAGTTTGGGTTTTTCTGTTGGGGTTTGGTGAGTCCGACTCACCGCGGAAACAAACCCCGATCCAAGGAACCACTCGCAATAATTAAAATCATAAAGCATAAATAAATAATCACTAAGAAAAGATAACGAATCTTACCCTCGAAGCGAGCTTCGCGTAAAAACCGGGGCTCTTACTTGAAAGCTACGAGCACGTCAAACGCCGCGCCTCCAACGGTATCCACCCACAAAAAGGCGAACACAACTTTAAGGTCTACTACCTGGGGGTTAGCGAGGTCCGACCAAAACCCGAGTGTTATATGAGTTTAAGAGTTTTCCCAATATTATGGAATGCTCTTTTTAACTCCCACTCAAGCAAAGAATTCTCAAGTCATTCCATGACTATTTATAAGGAAGTATGCCTTGTGAATTTCACTCATCTTTCAATGTGGGACTTTTCACAAAAAGATCCCACATGGAAAGATTGGTGAATTCAACCCTTAGTTAAATAAACAAAGGAACAAGTGACAAGTGTCACATGGTTAGGTGTGGACCACTTTATCACTTGGTCCCCAAGGCATTTCACATGCAATGTGAACTAACCATGTGTCACCCAACCTTGAGCCCCAAGTTGGGTTCGGTTGGCCCATTTTATTTTGGCCCGTGTCCATGACCCATCAACCCGGGTCCACGGCCATAGCCACATGTGTCGCCACCGTGGCGCGCCGCCACCATGGCGCTGCCACGTGGCGTTTTTCCATGTGTGCTGCCACGTGGCATGCTCCTATTGGGCATGTATTCTTAGCCTTTTGCGTGGCTAGGATTTTACTTGTTACTTGATGCATTTTCTCGTCTCGCCAAATCCTAAATTTTGGCTCGACATTTGAGATTCTCCGACGCTCGGTTTCGACGCTCCAAGCTCGAAATTCCGACGTCTAAATGTTTAACACTCGGGCGACGAATTAATTTCTTCCGAATTAATTCGTCGAGTTGGTTCGTATATTTTGCTTGGGTGTGACCCGAAGGGTTCAGTCAAGATTAAGCTGTAATATTAATTATATTAATATTACTGATCGGAAGCGGCCTCCACCCAGGCATTCTGATCACTTGACCTTACTGAATATATTAGCTTTCTAATAATTCTGAACCCGCTATCAGAATAATACACTTGTTCGAAGGACACTATTCCTTTCAATCTCCCACTTGTCCTTCTGGACAAGTGTGCATTTAGTGTATAACCCTTATCCTATGTCTCTTCATGAACTACAGAGTAAGATTACTAGTCATCTTTGTTACGTCTAGAAGTGTTTCTCGAAATCCGAGTTTGACTGTTAATAAGCAGATGATTTCTAAAATCCATCTAAGCACGACCATGCATTTTTCACAGTCTCGCTCTTCGAGAGGCCTTGTAAACAACAAGACATGTTCCCTATTGTTAGTAGGGGGACATTTCCAGTCTTGTAATGTAGCTTCTCTTACTAAGAGGACTCACCCGCCCAATATTTGTCTTTATAATCCCCACTTACGGCAAACGTTTGGCGGATACCAAAGCGGACCAATACTCAAACAAGAGATCTCCCACTACTCATGGTCAAAGGAAAAGAGTTCTGATAGTAATAATGAGAAAATACTTATGACGATTTTTAAATCTCTTAAAGTATCCTCATAGGTCGATCCAGTATGGTTCTAAACCAATACCTGTGCAAATGATTTATATCCTCATAGCACAAGAAACGGTGCTATAAATAATACTACACACTAATCTCTGATGGTCAACAATCGTCCACAAAATATGACCTTGATTAGGGATAATTTTCGATTAAAATATTCAATGTTCACTTAATAGGTGTTTCTTTATCCAAGCCATTGACTTGATACCCTATTTTGAGTATTTATTAAAATCGAATGGACTCATTATTTAATTCTAAACCACAATTAAATAGTTTTGTGGAATATTTAGAAATATTTTATTCCACTATGAAACTTCACAATGTTTCATCTTATGATAAATGGTTTTTCCCAAATGTTTAAAGAGTAATACTCTTCATAAAACATTCATAGAAATCACACCCATATTTGATATGCTTGATTTCTTTCATGCAATTATGAATGTTGTCGTTCATTTATTGCAAAGGTTTAGTTATAATTACTTTGCAAACCTTAGCATCTTCATTATCCACCATTTCTATAATAAGATGATAAAATTTTGAGAGTGTTAATGGATTACATGTGATTCAGGATTTATTGTCCAAGCAATGGCTCCCACTCATTTTCATGATTTGAGACCTTCTACTTGACAACCTACAATCATCAACGTTCAACAACGAACTTTTCCATTTAACATCTTTCCTTATTATTGCCTTTAAGGCAACAATATTCTCAACATATATTTTAGTAGACTCCCTGATGATGCCTTGCTTGGGTTTCACTCCAAGCGACTCACAACGATTTGGGATACCCTAATCACTTGTGATCATGGAAATTTTCCTTAAATTCCCGCACATTATACATGGATGCACATCCATGTTACCATTCTCAAGCCACGACACTTCTTGCCTCGTGCTTATAAATGGCTTCCTTGCTAAGGATCTAATCCTTGTTAAGGTTTGTGCTTGCAACATCAAAACTCAAATTATATTTGTTTCCATGCGTCAAGAACTCATCCAACTACTTATCTAAGTTCTTTGGATGTTCTTGACTATAATCTAATGATCTAATACTTAGATTAATG